ATATACCAAATTGATAAAATGAAGGGGGAAAACACATTATCATTCCAAGTGATTCCGAAAAAGCTTTTGACAAAATCCAGCACCCTTTCATGACAAAAACACTCAATAAACAAGGACTACAAGAGCTTCCTTAACATAATAAAGGCTACCTATGAGAAACCCACAGCTAATATCATACTTGATCATGAAAGACCAGGAATAAGACAAGGATGCCTACTTTTGCCTGTTCTATTAAACATAGTACTGGAAGTTCCAGCCAGAGCAATTAGGCAAGAAAAAACAAAAGACTGCAGACTCAAAACTTTGAAACAAGAATGTGTCATCTCTAAGAGCCACAATGCACTGCAGGAAGAAGGGAGGAGGCTGCCCTCCCACTAGGAATCTGGGAACATCACACCTCAGTTTTTTTTTTAACCAAAACTAGAGGCTGTTTATCCCCAAGGACTCAATATTCCCCCTCAACATTCTTTCTCAGATTTGCTTTGTGACCCATAGGAAGAGGTGAGCCTTATGCTGGCAGGTCAACTTCAAAGCCTATTACATTTGAAAAAGATTGAAACATGCGTTTTGGGGGGAGAGGGAGAGGTTCAGTATTCATTCAGAAAAACAAAGGTGTGTGTGACACTGAAGATCCAAACACAGGTCATGAAGTGATATCAGAGAAGTAAAATATTAATGATCAGTTCATTAGCTGAAACCTTTAGGTTTAAGACAGGTAACATGAAATTCTGCTGATTATGGAGAAACAAATTATGGTCATTGAATCCCACCTTGGGGCTATGGAAATTCACACATTTATAGCTACTACCAATTGTGCTATTAATATGCCTTTTCCACCATTCTTCACTATATTGTTTCCTAGGGCCACCATAACAAAACACCACAAACTCGGTGGCTTAAAACAATGGGGAATTATTGTCTCACAGTTGTAGAAGCCAGAAGTCCAATACCTAAGTGTCAGCAGGGCCATACTCCCTGTGAAGACTGTAGGGAAAGAGCTTGCCTAGTTTCTTCCAGCTTCTGGTGGCAATCTTCAGTGTTTTTTGACTTGCAGGTGCCCCCTCCAATCTCTGGCTTTCTTCACATGTGCGTATGTCTGTATTTGGGGAAAACTCAGTTTTCCTCCTGTGTTTCTCCTTTACTCAGGCTCAAGGGAAGGTGGAGGCTCAAAGTTTTCAAATGCATCTGCCCGGGGACTTGCATTACTACTCATTCCCCATCAGGACCCCGACTTTGATGTTGGAAACTTGCTTCAATAGCAAAAACAACCTTCACTGAAATTCTGCAACCCTTACCATTATGTTGTGAGTCTGGTGCCCACCTCTGCCTTACCTGCACTGCAGGCGAGGACCTTTGTAGATGCTGCCAAGGGAGCACCCAGACTCTTGCACTACACCCTGAATTGGTTATTAATATATGAGCCAGTTCTTCTCTCTCTTCAAAACATCAGTGTTGCTCAGCAGTAACCACCCAGTTGCAGTCTTTTTAGTTATCTGTCCCCCTAATTCTCAAACACCAGAGATATGGCACAAATGAGTGCATCTCCTTCCTCCTGTATCCCATCCCAGTTCATCCTAAAGAGAGTATTAACACACTGCCTTAAGCTTGGGGACGGGGTGCTCAACAATCCCCGTATCACCAAGGATGGGGTTCTCACTGACATCTGACCAATGAGGGACCCTATTCCAAAATCTCTGTCAGAGTCCTTTCCCAGGACCCCTTTTGACATCCAATGTTTTAGGTTGGGTTTCCTAAAACCATTTGTGTATGTGGTTTACTGAAGGAGGTCTCTCAGAAGAAACCTGTGGAAGAGTGAAGGACGAAGAATAGGGCAGGAGGAGAAGCTAGCCATGTCGATGTGATTGCAAGAGAAGAGAACCTGCCTCCACCTGATCTCACAGGTAGCTCTGGAGCATGACCAGCATCACAAAGACTTTCCTGCCCAAAGACACAAGAAGTATGGGCTGTTTATATCCCTAAATCAGTCATTGGCCTGGGGCTACCCCCAGCGTGGGTGATAACAACTTTCATAGCATCCTCAGGCAAAGTAACATCTGTCAAACAAGATCACTCTGTTCGAGAAATAGAATACAAGAATGAGTCATGAGCAGCCAACACCCCACAATATTTGGAGGTTGGGTGTCACGGCCTAGCAAAGAGGATCTGGTTGGGGGCCCCCAGAGCACCTGATGCTCCTTGTTTATCACCACTGGAACATAAATTCCATAGAGCAGAAACTTGGTTTTCTTTACCATTGTATCCCCAGTGCGTCTAACAGTGCCTGGCACAGAGTAAGTGCTCATTAAATAATTACTAAATAGATATCAATCAAGTTATTGATTGAATGTTCCCTAAGACTAGATCCATCAGGCATGCCCTGACTCAGCGGAACTCCTTGCTCTCTATTCCTTGGCCCTGAGAAGAGGTAAACATATGAGGGATTAAGTAGAGAACACTTAGTAACACTAAAAGCATGAACCATGAAAGAGGAATCCAGTGGACCATACAAAAATTAAAAACATTAGGGGAACCTGGGTGGCTCAGTTGGCTAAGCGTCCGACTCTTGGTTTTTGACTCAGGTCATGATTTCAGGGTCGTGAGATGGAGCCCCGTGTTGGGCTCCACACTGGGCCTAGAGCCTACTTACAATTCTCTTTCTCTCCCTTTGCCCCTCCCCCAACTCCCACTCAGGTGCTTGCTCTCTCTCTTTCTAAAAACTTAAGCAAGTAATTAAAAACATTTGCTTGGGACACCTAGTGGCTCAGTGGGTCAAGCGCCTGCTTTCTGCTCTGGTCATGATCCCAGGGTCCATCAGACTTTCTGCTCAGCCCAGAGCCTGCTTCTCCCTCTCCCTCCCTGCTCCCCCTGCTTGTGCTCATGCGCTTTCTCTCTCTCTCTCTGTCCAATAAATAAATAAATACATACATTTGCTCTTCTAAGTATACAATTAAGAAAAATTTTTTAAAAATCACAGGAGTAAATATTTACATGTCTTATGCCATGCATCTAAAAAGGAATTTGTACACAGAATATATCAAGAATTCTTACATCTCAAAAATTAGAAGATAAGGGCGCCTGGGTGGCTCAATTGGTTAAGCCACTGCCTTCGGCTCAGGTCATGATCCTGGAGTCACGGGATCGAGTCCCGCGTCTGGCTCCCTGCTCAGCGGGGAGTCTGCTTCTCCCTCTGACCCTCCTCCCTCTCATGCTCTCTGTCTCTCATTCTCTCTCTCTCAAATAAATAAATAAAATCTTTAAAAAAAACAGAAGATAAAACCTCAGCAAAGAAAGAAGGAAGGAAAGAAAGAAAGAGAGAAGGAAAGAGAAAGAAGAAAGAAGAAGAAAGAAAGAAGAAAGAAAGAAAGAAAGAAAGAAAGAAAGAAAGAAAGAAAGAAAGAAAGAAAGAAAGAAAGAAAGAAAGAAAGAAAGAAAGAAAGAAAGAAAGAAAGAAAGAAAGAAAGAAAGAAAGAAAGAAAGAAAGAAAGAAAGAAAGAAACGCCTGGGTGACTCAGTCGTTACCCGCATCTGCCTTCAGCTCAGGTCATGATCCCAGGGTCCTGGGATCCAGCCCCACATCGGGCTCCCTGCTCAGCGGAAAGCCTGCTTCTCCCTCTCCCACTCCCCCTGCTTGTGTTCCTGCTCTCGCTATCTCTCTGTCAAATAAATAAATAAAATCTTTAAAAAAAAAAAAAAGAAAGAAAGAAAATTGTCAAAAATTTGGATAGCTATGTCCAAGAGAAGATATACAGATGGCAAATGAACATATGAAAAGATGTGCAACACTGGGTATTATGTAAGACTGATGAATCACTGACCTCTACCTCTGAAACCAATAAGACATTATATGTTAATTGAATTTAAATAAAAATTTTTTTAAAACTTTGTGAAGTGGGCGCCTGGGTGGCTCAGTCGTTAAGCGTCTGCCTTCGGCTCAGGTCATGATCCCAGGGTCCTGGGATCGAGCCCCGCATCGGGCTCCCTGCTCAGCGGGGAGCCTGCTTCTCCCTCTCCCACTCCCCCTGCTTGTGTTCCCTCTCTGGCTGTCTCTCACTATAAATAAATAAATAAAATCTTAAAAAAGAAAAAGAAATATTTTTAAAATAAAAAATAATGAAGGAAGACTTTCTTTACCTGATATTATTTGCTCAGAAACAGATAAGAAATATAAGCGTAAGAATTTGGCATATGTTAGAACATGTAAAATCAATGAGGAAAAGAATGAATGATTTATATTTTAGAAAAACCCAAATCAAATACAGCTACATAGAAAGAAGAAAACAATAATTATGATCCTACCACCAAGAAATAATCACTCTCACATGTAGAGAATACTATGCAGATTAGCATAAAATAAAATCTTAATATATTTATTCTTTTTAAAACCACATTGTAATCAAGTATTTGTATAGCAAAATAAATTTTTACGATATCATTTGTAATAGTTGCATAGTATTTCATGGCAAGGAATGAGAAGAGGTATTTAACTGATCAACAATTTTTGTACTTTCAAGTAATTGAAAATTGTATAATTAAAAAAAAACCTTTGGAGAGTGCTTTTGTATTTAAATATTTTGATAATACTTTAACCATTTCCTTAGTTAACATTTCTAGATCTACAACTGCTTCATAAAATATTATTAAGACTTTTGATATTCATTTTCAAATTGTCAAATGGAAAAGTTGTGCTAAGAATTTTCAAGAAGCCCAATCCTTAAAATGGGTATTACCATAATTCTTTACATTTGCCAATTTGATACGCCTAATGGTACTTTACTTCTATTCTATCTTAATTTTTAATATATTCTTTGTCATTTGTATGAAATAAACTTTCCAAGACTTTTGTTTATATTTTTAGATTCGTATTTGCCTTTTTCATTAAGGACATTAAAATGTTTGATATGTAGTAAACTTCTATTGTGAATGTTAAAAAAAAAGAAAGAAAAGACGCTTAATATCACTAGTCATCACATTCATTTATTTGTCTATTTATTTATTTATTCATAAATATGGAATGCTTTGCAAATTTGTGTGTCATCCCTGTGCAGGGGCATGCTAATCTTCTCTGTATCATTTCAATTTTAGTATATGTGCTGCCAAAGCGAGCACAGGGAAGTGCAAATTTAAATGACAGCAAATTATCGCTAGAATGGCTTAAACTAACATGACTACCCAGACCAAGTATTGTTGAGGATATGGAGCCACTGGAACTCAACATGGGATGGCCACTTGGGTAAACGGTCAGCAATTCCTTACGACGTTGAACATACTCCTAGCATACGACCTGCAGTCCCACTCCTATGAATTTACCCAAGAGAAATGATAACATGCCCACATGAAGACCCACACACAATGCTTGTAGCATTGTTATCCATCATAGCCCCAAACTGAAAACAGCAGAAATGCCCATCAGCTGATGAATGCACAAATAAATGGAATACTACTCAGCAATAAACGGGCACAGAATATTGATACACATAACATTATGAATGAATCAAAAACATTATGCTAAGAGGAATATGTCAAGCACAGAAAGATTACATAATACATGATTCTATTTATATGAAATTGTAGAAAAAGCAAAACCAGAGTGGCAGAAAGCAGGTTGGTGGTTGCCTAGGGATAGATTGGGAAGAGCAACTATAGAAGGGTCACGGGGTAACTTTCTAGGGCAACAGAAATGTTCTAGATCTCGACCGTGGTATTATTATATGACCTTATGCATTTGATAAAACTCAGCACACTGTCACTTGAAATGGATGAATTTTATTGGGTAGAAATTATACCTCCAGTAAAAATAAACCTTCACACTGATGGTGGCAAAAATGAAAAGGCAGAGCCTGGGTCCAGTAAAGATGGCTTCGCTGAGCAGCTAAACCATGTCAGCAAACACTCAGTTCCAAATGTCTTATTTTCAGAGGAAAGTACTTTTCTGAACAAAAGTAATCGCTGTTGGTCAACTTTCCATTTCCTTGCCACTGAAAACGATCTTCAGCGCAAGAGGGTGACCCTCCCATGTCACAGGTCTGCTGCTGATCATATCTTGATCACACATATGGTACAACAGGTAGTCATCTGTTCAGATTTTTCAAGGAACCTGGGGGTAGGCAGTCTAGCTTTTCACAGACCCAGAACACTGAACGTGAGACTTGGTCAAGTTGTTAGTTAAAACCACATTCGTTTCTCAGGGCAAGGTGGATGAACCCAGAGGACGTTATGCTAAGTGAAGTAAGCCAGATGCAGAAAGACAATCACTGTATGGTCTCACTTATGTGTGGAATTTAAAAAGTCCCCACTCATACAACTAAAAAGTGGACCAGTGGCTGCCAGCTAAGTTCTGGGGGATCTAGTGTGCAGAATGATGGAAATAATGAGTAGCACTGGGTTGTATACTTATCATTTGCTAAGGAGGACACCTGGGTGGCTCAGTGGGTTAAGTGGTTAAGCATCTGCCTTCAGCTCAGATCCAGATCTCAGGGTCCTGGGACTGAGCCCCGTGTCAGGCTCTCTGCTCAGCGGGGAGCCTGCTTCTCCCTCTCCTTTTGTGCTCTCTCTTTCTCTCTCTCAGATAAATACAATCTTTAAAAAAAAAATTGCTCAGGGAATAGATCTTGAGTGTTTTCACCACAAAAATCCAACAAGATAGTAACTGTGAGGTGATGGATATGTTCATTAATTTGATGGCGGTGATCATTTCACAGTGCAAACATCTATTAAATCATCCGTGTTAAAAAAAAAAACACATCGTACAACCTCAAATGCATACAATTTTTATTTGTCAATCATACCTCAATAAAGCTGGGAAAAAAATAGAAATGTTTAAAAACCACATTAGTTCCTGTTTCTCAGGCTTGAGCTTTGGCTTTCTGGTAGGCTGCCTGCAGAAATGATCCCCAGCCATTCCCCCCATCTCTGCAGATACGTGTCACTTCTCCCAGCAAGTCATGGAGTCAGTCTACTTCCCATTTCCTTGAATCTGGGTTGATCTTCGGATTTGCTTTCACCCAAAGAATATGGTGGAGTGACACCATGCCACCTCCAGGCTGAGGTCCTGCAACCAGCAGCTTCCAGTTTTGCCTTCTTAGGATCCAGCCACCATGTTAAGAAGCCTGGGATCATTTTGGAGGGCAGTTTGGCAGTTTCTCGCAAAGCTAAACATACTCTTACTATATGAGTCTGCAATCACACTCCTTAGCATTTACCCAAAGGAGGTGAAAAACTTAACACCCGCACAGAAACCTGCACGCAGTTTTATTCATAATTGCCCAAATCTGGAAGCAAGTGTTCAGTAGGTGAACGGACAAACTGCGGGACATCCAGACAATGGGATATTATTCAGCGCTAAAAAGAAATGAGCTCTCCACCCTGAAAAGATGCGGAGGAGGACATGTAAAGGCATATTATTGAGCGAAAGAAACAATCTGAAAAGTCTACCTATGGAATGAGTGCAACTATCTGCAATTCCGGGAAAGACAAGCTCAGGAGGAAAGTGATCAGACTTCCCGGCATCCAGATTGCCCCCACCCCCGGGGTGGGGGGGCGCCTCTCCTCCCTTCCCTCCCCTGCGGCGGTGGCCGTCGGAAGCAGAGTAATAAGGGAGAGAGAAAGTTAGCTGGCAAGGGGAGGGAGCCAGACTCTTGCTTGAAGGTAGGGGAAGCTCTGGTTTCAGAACTTCCTCAAACATCCCACACCACCCAGCGGAACTGGGGAGCGATCGATTGATGGAGCCCCCCTAATGTCCCAGTCCAGTAATTTCAGAGCAGCGGGGGCGGAAAACCCAGGCATGTGATGCAAATGTGTGATCAAACTCAGGTACAGCTCCTCCGCCAACTTCTCTGCTACGTGGATCTGCTATGGAAGATAAAAGTCATAGCACGACACGTTTTGCGGGACCGTGCAAAGTTTTTAAAAAATGACCTCTACTTAGCACAGGCATAAGCCCTCAATAACGACTGGGTGTTTGGGTTGGTTTTGTTTACCTTTTTGTTACTACAAATCCCACCACATCAGACTGATGTGTGAACATCTGCGTTTGTGATGTGAGAGTGTGCCTACAAAATAAAATCCTTGAAGTACAGGGCTGGTAGAAAAGGAAGGTGCATCTTGCCACACCCCACCCTTGCAAAAGTTGGATCCATTTCACATCCCCTCGTCCAGTTGTGAGGATGCTTCTCAGCCACAGGCCAGCAACGCAGCAAATCACCCAGCGCTTTGATCTTTTACCAATTCATAGGTGGAAATGAAAATGTGTATTCCATGGCCTTTTAACTTCCAAATTCTTTTATTATGAAAAGAGAGCGTATCATACGATGCTATTTCAGGCACATGTGCATTTCTTTTTATGAGCCGACTGCTTTTTCTGTTTCGAGTTTTCTAGAGAGTATTAGTCATTTCTTAAAGACGTCACTTATATTTCATACTTCAAAGGAATCATCATCAATGTCTGCTCAACCTTTCCTTTTTCACTCTTGTTTCTCATCTTGCCTGTGTGTTGGGGGAGGGGGTATTCCTTTAAATTGCTATTCTTAATGGAGCGATTACTCATTTATATGTGAAATATTTCAGCACTCTCTTTTATACCTTCTTGGGTTTTTTAAACATGCTTAACACATCACTGCACCAGGATGAATCTTTATGAAATCACCACACTTTCGGTGTTTTCCTGGTTTCTTTTTTTCCTTTTTACACTTAAATCTTTGATCCAGCTGGAATTTACTGTGGGTTTGGCCATCTCTTAAGCTTTTCTGTCAACCGCTGATTGATGTAATTTGCAATTTATTGCCCAGAGAGGTTGACGCCCTTTTTCTGTGTTTATAAGTCACTTGAGTTCCTTTCTTCATGAATTGTCCTTGTCCGTTCGTGCCCTTGTGCGTTCTTCTAATGAGTATTTTGTGGGTGAAAATAACAAAATTGAGGGTGGGCCTTTATTGAGCACCTGCTGTGTGCACTTGCACCATGCTGTGGTCTTACACACATACCTTTCCTCTGAACCTCATCACAGCCCACGTGATGGATGGGAATATTGACCTTAAAAGCTGATGATGGCATGAGTTTCCCAAAACCTCAAAGCTAAAATGTGACCTTCTGGAGACTGGAACCCAGGTGTGTTGGGGGACTGCAGATTCCTCGTACCTGAACACCCGCTGTAGCAATTAGTTTTACCGTGGCTAGATGGAGATCGATCGGGAAGGGACACCAGTCGGATTGCAGGAAACCATCAAAAGTCCGTTGTGGGAGGGGCGCCTGGGTGGCTCAGCTGGTTAAGCATCTGCCTTTGGCTCAGGTCATGATCTCAGTGTCCTGGGATCGAGCCCCGCATCGGGCTCCGTGCTCCTCGGGAAGCCTGCTTCTCCCTTTCCCTCTGCTGCTCCCTCTGCTTGTGTTCTCTCGCGCGCTCTCTCTGTCAAATAATTAAATAAAATCTTTAAAAAAAAAAATCCGTTGTGGGGAACATGACACAATGGGGACTGGAGGTTCTGGAGGTTGGGTTAATGGCTGGGGCTAGACTTTAGAACCCGGCGGGGGTGTCAAACAATAAGAAAGAAGGATGGAAAAAATTCCTAGGATCGGGGCGCCTGGGTGGCTCAGTCGTTAAGCATCTGCCTTCGGCTCAGGTCATGATCCCAGGGTCCTGGGATCGAGCCCCGCATCGGGCTCCCTGCTCTGTGGGAAGCCTGCTTCTCCCTCTCCCACTCCCCCTGCTTGTGTTCCCTCTCTCGCTGTGTCTCTCTCTGTCAAATAAATAAAATCTTTAAAAAAAAAAAATTCCTAGGATCATGCCACCGCTTTCAGGAGAGCTTGAGGTTGGGGAGCCTCCCTCCAACCCCCAGACATAATCCTAGGGCTTTAAGGAAGGAAATTTCTTCAGTAGTTGTTGGTCCCACGGTGCAAATGCCAATCACCTGCATCCCAAGGATTCTGAACGTGTTTGACTCCCTTCTCTCTTTCTCCTTGCCCCTCTCCCACCTCCCCATCAGCCAACGTGGTTGGCTCAAGCTCTGAAATCTATCCCGCCCCCCTATCCATCCTCCAGGTCGGGTCTTCGTGACTCCTCACTTTGGAAGGAAATGTTCAAATTCTGGTGCCTACAGGTAAAGCTTCCTAGAACAGAGCCACGTGCACTTGTGAATTGCGTGGGTAGCAGCTTTCGGGCGGCGCCAATGCAGGCTTAGATCGGTATCTCACTGATACTGACGGCCCTTGGCACAATCCTACCAGCCCAGGTGATCTCTCTACAGCTTGTAGCCCCGTCTTTGTTAGTGGATTCTTGTGGCACCGCAAATGGGGAGGCTTAAAACAACAGAAATTTATTCTGTCACAGTTCTAGAGACCAGATGTCTGAAATCAAGGTGTCCACAGGGCCTCGCTCCCGCCAAAGGCTTTAGGAAAGAATCCTTCCAGAGGCACCTGGGTGGCTCAGTTGACGAAGCGCCTGCCTTCGGCTCACGTCATGATCCCAGTGTCCTGGGATCTGGGATGGAGCCCTGCATCGCTTCGGGCTCCCAGCTCAGCGGGGAACCTGCTTCTCCCTCTCCCTCTGCAGCTCCCCCTGCTTGTGCACTCTTTCTCTCTCATAAAATAAATTTTAAAATCTTAAAAAAAAGAAAAGAAAAGAAAAAGAATCCTTCCTTGCCTGTTCCCGGTTTCTGGTGTTCCGAACAATCCTTGGCATTCCCTGGCTTGTAGATGAATCCCTCTGATGTCCACCTCCATCTTCACATGGCCACCTTCCCTCTACATCTCTGTGTGTCCTCTCCTTTCCTTACAAAATGCCATTCATTGGATCTAGGACCCACTGGAATCCAGTATGACCTCATCTAATTACAACCACGAAGACCCAGTTACCAAGTGAGGTCACGTACCAACTGAGGTTCTAGGCAGACATGAACCTGGGGCGGGCGGGGGGAGACACTATTCAACCCACTGCGGCCATCAGGAAAAGGGGGCCTCTGAGAGGAAGAGAAAGCTGAAGGGTGCTGTGGGGGGTTTATAAGAGCAGGCCAACAAAGTGACCAGCCATCTGCTTCTACTCTCCTTCTCTTGGGCAGGTCAGTCACGTGGCCCCACAACGTGCCAGGGAGGCTGGGAAAGTGGAGAGAAGCACAAGGATATTTGGGGAGCCTCCCTGCCATCCCTGCCTGCTTGCTGTACCCCTAAAGCCCAGTGCAGCATCTGGTCCATAGGGGCTGCTCAGTGAAAGTTTGTTGAATGAATGAATGAATGAATGAATGAACACCAGGAAGGTGAGGGTAAGGAGCCAAATAGGAAGATTGAGGGGCGCAATGCAGCAGTTGGATCCCTGGCCCACCACCCCGCTGGGAGCTGAGGATGGGCAGAAGCTGGAGGGGATTTCCCTGCTCGGTGAACAGCTCAAATCCCTCCCCTCTGCCGGACGGACATCCCCAGAGTGGGGTGGGGCGGGTCCCAGGCAGGTTTGGGCAGGCCGAGGCCTCCGAGCTGAGTGAGGGCTGACGTTTCCTGTTCTCCTGGCTCCGTGGCTCGCCCCGAGCCTGCCAGCAGAGGCAGGGCCGATGCAGCGCTGGCTGAGGGCCATGATGGCAGAGGAGGGTTCTGGCTGCCCGGTGCCCCGCCTGCCCTGGGCGTCCATCCAGAGGGTCGCTCTGGTGGGCGTTGTGGTAGTTGCGATCTACTGTTTCCTGTGCACCCAGCGCCTCGCGCAGCAGCCGCAGCTCGAGTCACCTGGGGTAAGTTCAGAAGGAAGGAGGAGAGAGATGCAAACCTGCCACCTGCTACGGGAGCCTGGGGACCTCCGGGTGGAGCCTTGTGGGGGCGCGGAGGGGAGGTGAACTGCCGGGAAGAGAACGGGATCGAGGCAGAGCCGCGCTCAGACTGACAGACAGAAGACCACACACACACACACAAAATCAGAATGAGATGGAGAAAAATCATCCAGGAAGATCAGGTGGGAAGAGAATAGGGCCAGAGACAGAGACCGAGCAGGCAGATAGGGCATGGCTGCCCTGGATGTCTGGGCTGGGGCATAGGGAATGTCGCTTGAACCCAGGAGGTAAATCCCGGGTGGGGATCCCGGGTGGGGAGGTTGCAGCTGAGAAAGGGGCTTCCGATGTGAGCATGGAAAATGACTCGTCTTTGGTGTTCCCCCAGCAGGCTGACTCAGAGGCTGCTGGGGGCTTCACAAAGCCGGGAGAGGGTGGGTTCGGAGCCTCCGAGGGCAGGATGACCCATACCGCTCTTCTGGAAACCCTGTAAACCCACCACAGGGATCCCCTTTGGGGGCTGCGCAGGCGGGGGGGCTTTGCAGCGGAGAGAGCAGGTGTGGGTATTTAGTCTAAACCTACTTCCTCTTTAAAAGATCTTTTTTAAAAAGTCACAATTCAGTCCAAGGGGTTGAGAAGTGGGTAGGAGGACGAGCAGAGAAAAGAGAGGTCTTCATTTAGGGGGAACTTAAAACCTTCATGCTTATGTGCCCACCGGTTTTCTCTTCTTTTCTTCCAGCGGGACATGGCTGAGCTCCAGCTGAACCACACAGGTAACCCCTCGTCCTTGTGTGGGGGGCAGAAAGAGAGAGGGAGAGAGAAAGAGAAATCGAGATAGACAGAAAGAGAAAGAACAAGAGAAAGGGAGAGAGAGAAAGAGAGAGGGAGAGAGAGAGAGGCGAGGTGGGGCAGTGTGTTTCTGGCTCTCTACTACCTTACTCTTTCTCAGTCCCTCACACTTTATCTTCTGCCTCGGGAGAACTAAAACACCGCCCATCCTGGTCGTCGGTCGCCAGATTCCTTCATTCACCCCTCAGACCTTAACTGAGCAGCTTCTGTGAGCCCGGCACTGTTCTAAGTGCCCCAACAGGGAAGAGAACTCTGCTTCCCTCGTACCCATAGGCTCAGACAGTAAATAAATGAACCCACTAAATACACAGCATTCCACAGAGGGTACAACCCGCCTCTGATAGGTTTTACAGAAAAATTAAGCAGGGGAGGGGATTGGGGCATGCTGGGGTTCGTTTTGCCACGGACAGTGGGGTCCTCAGGAACGGGTGTCCCTGAGAAGGTGGCCTTAGAACAAAGAGGTGGAGGTGGTGACAGAGCCAGCTGTTTGGTGGCCTGTGGGGAGGCCGTTCCCCTCCCAGCCTCCCTCTAACCCTCCCCACCATGAGGCCTTTCCAGCTCCTCCCCAGAGGTTCAGATGCTGTGTTCGTTCCATTTTGTAATGGAGGGAAACCCTGTTCTTTTTCTTCTCTGGCACTTCTCTGGCTGCTGGGACAGAATACGGTAGATGGGGTAGCTTGTAACAGCACATTTCTTTCTCACGTTTCTGGAAGCTGGAAGTCCAGTATCAAAGCTCAGCAGATTCAGTATCTAGTGAGAACCTGCTTCCTGGTCTCTAGATGGCCGTCTCTTCTCTGTGTCCTCACGTGGCCGACCAGGGGGAGAGAGGGCTCCACCCTCATGATCTCATCCCCTCCCAAAGGTCCCACCCAATACCGTGACCTTGGGGGTTAGGTTTCAACTGAGGAATTTTGGACATCTGGGCTATAGCACGGTCCTCCCACCTAAACCTCCGTCCTCCCACCTCCCTGACACTCTGCCTCCAGGATGGCGGCAGGACTGCAGGCTGCACTGGCTGGGAGGCCCAGCCCTGGGCCGCTCCTTCGTGCAAGGACCGGAGCTGGACAACGGGCAGCTGCGTGTCCAGCGCAGTGGCATCTATAGGCTGCACATCCAAGTGACACTGGCCAACTGCTCGTCCTCCCTGGGGGCCACCATGCCCCCCAGGGCCACCTTGACGGTGGGCATCTGCTCCCCAGCAGCCCACAGCATTAGCCTGCTGCGCCTCAACTTCCATGAAGGCTGTGTGGTCACCTCCCAGCGCCTGACACCGTTGGCCCGAGGGGACACGCTCTGCACCAACCTCACTCTACCTCTGCTGCCATCCCCAAACACTGATGAGACCTTTTTTGGGGTTCAGTGGGTACACCCCTAACTATTGCACCTCTTGGCCCAGATCCGTTGGGAGGGTGTGTTTTCTCTTTTTTTTTTTTTCTTTCTCTAATAAAAATGTTTTTTTCTTTGTGTATCTCTGTAATATAGTGCTTTATAATAAATATCTGTTTGGTCTTTGCCCTCATTTCTGGCACGGGGCTCCAGTGCCAGAAAACCCTTGGAATTCCCTAAGTGATGAGAGCGATCAAGGTGTCTTTTGTTATGTTAATGAGTGACTTTTGGAAAGCCCTCCTGGTGACCTGAGATTTGGGGCCAGGTTGCCAGGGGAAACAACGAAGGAGTAGGGGGTTGGAACTTTCAGTTCCCATCACCTGACGCCTGTGTAATGAAGCGTCCTTAAAAACGCAGGAGGATGGGGTTAGGAGAACTTCGGGATTGGTGAAGGCATGGAGGAGCTGGGAGGGTGTGCACATGGAGGGGGCTGGGTGGCTCGGAGCTGCCTGATTCAAATTTACTTTTTTTAACTTTTTTTTTTTAAAGATTTTATTAATTTATTTGACAGAGAGAGAGCGTGAGCACAAGCAGGGGGAGCAGCAGGCAGAGGGAGAAGCAGGCTCCCCTCTGAGCAGGGAGCCCAATGTGGGACTCCATCCCAGGACACTGGGATCATGATCTGAGCCGAAGGCAGACGCTTAACTGACTGAGCCACCCAGGCATCCCGTCCTTCTGCTCTCTTACTCTCTCTTTCTCTAAATAAATAAATAAATAAAATCTTTTAAAAAAAAAAAATCTGCCAGTTATTTTACCAGCAAAAATGGGTTTATTCAGGAATAGCAGAAAACTGCAATCCACAACAAACAAGCTATGGCGAAACCATAGGCAAGTCCGCCAAACAAAGGAAAGGACTGCTCTTTTATAGAGGAAAGCGGGAAATCGGGAAGGCTGTCAAAAACGAAGAGTCCATTGGAGTTACTGGTAGTTTGAAGTATAGTGGCTTCTCATTAGGTGAGTTGTGACTATCAGCTACACCGCTACCAGGGGAGGAGAACTTTCTTCCTCCTGCTGGTGGAGTAAAATAGTATCCGTGGGCAAGTGTGGCTCTTCCTGTTGGATTTGCAGGGCGCCTGGGTGGCTCAGTCGATTGAGCGACTGCCTTCGGCTCAGGTCATGATCCTGGAGTCCCGGGATCGAGTCCCGCATCGGGCTCCTTGCTCAGCGAGGAGTCTGCTTCTCCCTCTGACCCTCCCCCCCTCATGCTCTCTCTCTCTCTCAAATAAATAAATAAAATCTTTAAAAATATAAAATAAAATAAAATAATGATGTATCAGGCTTGGTTCATGAGTTGTAGCAAAGGTTCTATACTAATGTAAGATATTAAAAATAGAGAAACTGTGTGCATGGAAATATATGAGAAGTTTATACTCTCTGCTCAAATTTCCTATAAATGTAAAACTGTTCTTTAAAAAAGTTTATTAGTTGGGTGCCTGGGTGGCTCAGTTGGTTAAGCGACTGCCTTCGGCTCAGGTCATGATCCTGGAGTCCCTGGATCGAGTCCCGCATCGGGCTCTCTGCTCGGCAGGGAGTCTGCTTCTCCCTCTGCCCTCTTCCCTCTCGTGCTCTCTGTCTCTCATTCTCTCTCTCAAAAAAAAAAAAAGTTTATTAGTAAAACATCAAGTAATGAAAATTGCTTCAGTGGAAGGATGATGTCATCAAGAAAGAAATTCTGGGTTTCAAAAGTTTAAGCAGTAGACTTGTGAAATCCTAGCTTCCAAAGTAATCTCCACAGGGCATATAAGATGATGTCAATTAGATATAAATTTCTAAATTTAGTACACACATGCCCATAGCAGCACTATTAAATGTAGCCACAGGTGGAAGAGTTAACAATGACTCATAAAACAAAATAGAAAAGATCAATGAAATTAAGAATTAGCTCTTTGAAAAGTAAACAAAGTACACAAACCTTTGGCTAGACTCACCAGGAAAAAAAGAGAGAAGTCTAAAATAAATAAAATCAGAAATGTGAGACGAGATATTACAACCAGTTCCACAGAAATACAAAGGATCATGAGAGGACTCAAATAATTGGAAAGTTATCCCATGCTCATAGATTGGAAGAATTAATATTGTTAAAATGTCCATATTACCCAAAGCCAGCTACAGATTCAATGTAATCCCAATTAAAATTCCAATGGCATTTTTCACAGAAATAGAAAAAAAAATTCTAAGATTTATATGGAACCATAAAAGACCCCAATATAGCCAAAGTGATCTTTATTTTTTTTATTTTTTTAATATTATATTAATCACCATACATTACATCATTTGTTTTTGATGTAGTGTTCCATGATTCATTATTTGCATATAACACCCAGTGCTCCATGCAGAACGTGCAGAGCAATCTTTTAAAAAAACCTGGACAGCCACATGCAAAAGAATGAAACCAGACTCCTATCTCACACCATACACAAAATCAACTCCAAATGGATTAAAGACTTGAACATAAGACCTGAAATCATAAAGCTCCTAGAAGAAAACGTAGGGGATAAATTCCTTGACACTGGTCTTGGCAATGATTTTTGGATTTGCAGCTTTTAAACATTTTCCAAAAGTAAAACATGCCCAGTGGAAAAAGAATATAGAGAATATATATTCTATTGTTTTCTCAAAACCAACCATCCTTTCTCCATTGCATATTCTTGGCTCCTTTCTCATAAATTTATTGACCATATATGAATGGGTTTATTTCTGGACTCTATTCTGTCCCATTGGTTGATGTGTTTGTTTTTATGCCAATATCATATTGTTTTGATTACTATAGTTTTGTAATATAATTTGAAATCAGGAGTATGATGCCTGTAACATATTTCTTTTGGGGTTCCATTTTCTCACTAGCTCCTGCTCTCTTCCTCCCCCCACCCCTTGTCTCTCTCTTCATAGATCTCAATCCCTTGTCTCAAAATTCTGCTGACTCTACCATGCAGAGTACCTGAGTTCTGCCCTTATTGGCATCCAGGGTTATATTGCTCAACAATCACCAAAGATTATATATCAGGACCCATCAAGAGGTTTTCATGAACAAAAGGATTGTCATCCACATTCAGAAATGAATTGTATTGGGCGCCTGGGTGGCTCAGTTGGTTAAGCGACTGCCTTCAGCTCAGGTCATGATCCTGGAGTCCTGGGATCAAGTCCCACGTCGGGCTCCCTGCTCAGCAGGGAGTCTGCCTCTCTCTCTGACCCTCCCCCCTCTCATGTTCTCTCTCTCATTCTCTCTCTCAAATAAATAAATAAAATCTTAAAAAAAAAAAAAGAAATGAATTGTATCACTCCATTTGAAAGGAAGGGGCCATTGTCAGGATCATGACCCTCATGATGGCAGAAATGGAGGGGACTCTTGGGTGTATTGTGAAGTAGAAAATGAGTCTAGAACCAGCTTAGGCAGACCTTTGAATACCAGACTAGGGACTAAGGATTTATTGCCCAGGCAAGAGGGAGCCGTTGAAGGTGTCAGAGTGAGGAGGAACCTGATTGAATTTGTAGCTTTAAAAGGTCATTCCAGGAGCCTTCTACACAATCCTCCCCACCCCAGGACTAGATCACATTCTCTCTTTTTTTTTTTTTTTAAGTTTTTTTTTATTTATTTGACAGAGAAAGACAGCCAGAGAGGGAACACAAGCAGGGGGAGTGGGAGAGGGAGAAGCAGGCTTCCCACGGAGCAGGGAGCCTGATGTGGGGCTCAATCCCAGGACCCTGGGATCATGACCTGAGCGGAAGGCAGACGCTTAACAACTGAGCCACCCAGGCGCCCCGATCACATGCTCTCTTTCTGCACCCCTGGTACTTTCCTTCACTATACTGTCTACAAATAACAAAACTATACATGGGGGTATTTTGCTGACTCTCCATTAGGACGAGGGTAGCCTTGTTTACTTTAGACATTAGAGTATCTGTGGTTTGGCAAGGGAATGAGTATAATAATGATAGTGGAGAAAGGATAAATATTTGTGAAATAAAAGAAAAAAGAAAGACTCAACATCATTACTTGTGAGAGAAATGTGAATCAAGACGACAGTGAGATTCCACCGCACACCCCCTAGGATTGCTATAATCAAAAAGACAGACAATAAAAAATGCTGGCAAGGATGGATAGAAATTAGAACTGGGATGGTTAACTTTAGGTGTCCACTTGACCAGATCATGGGATGCCCACAAGCCTGGTTAGGCATAAGGTCTGGATGTGTCTGTGAGGGTGTTTCTGGAACAGCTTAGTATCTGAATCTATAGACTGAGAACAGAGCACTGCCCTCCCTGATGAGGCTGGGCCTCATCCAACCTGTGGAGGGCCTGAATAGAACAGAAGCAGAGGAAGGGAGGATCCATGTCCCTCCTGACTGCCTCGTTGAGCTGGGACACTGGTCTCCTCCTGCCCTTGGACTGTGATGTCCATCAAGCTCTTCTAGTTCTCAGGCCTTCGACTTGGGCTCAAATTACACCAACAGCTCTCTTCAGTCTCAGGCGTGCACATGGCAGATCGTGGGGCATACTCTCGTGAGCCAGTTCCTCATACTAAACCTCTTTACAGATACGTATCTCCTGTTGGCTCTGTTTCTCCAGAGAACCCTGGACTAATGCAGGAACTGTCAAACTGTTGGGATTCTGGTAGGATTCTAAAACGGTTCAGCCTCTGTGGAAAACAGCCCAGCCATTCCTCAAAAATTAAACACAGAACTACCACATGATGAAGCAATTTCACCCCTGGGTATGTACCCAAGAGAAATAAAAACATACGGTCCACACAAAAGCTTATACACAAATGTTCACCACACCATTATTCATAATAGCCCCAAAATTGAAAGAACCCAAATGTCCATCAACAAATGAATGGATACACAAAATGTGGTACTGATATGATGGACTATTGTTCGGCAGCTGAAGAAGGAAGTATGGACACATATTACAATATGAATGAACCTTGGAAAGAGGATGCAAAGCAAGAGGCCAGACACAAAAGGCTACATATTTTGATTCCATTTATAT